GTGCCCAAATCCCACACCCAAAACCTTCATCCAAATGACCCCCTACGGGTTGAAGTTAGTCTAAGCAACTTGCTCACTACCTGCTAAGAAACCGAATAAGACATAGTTTGGAAGAGATGTCCGGAATTCGACTTCAAATTTAGGTTTGAAAGGTAAGAAACAGTCCATCTGATTCACCTCTTAATCCAATTCATCAATCATCAGCAATAGAGTAACAAATCTGAGACAGGGCTTAGGGTTTAATCAATCAATTGCAAAGACTAATCCAAAGTTATCCTCAGTCAGGTCAATTGAGAAAACTACAAGTGATATATTTTCCCCCACATAAATTTGGGGATATAAAACCACTGAGTAGATTTGAGGAGCTGGCCCCGTAAGTTGGTGTCAGCAAGTGATGGCCAACTCCCTCAATTCGCATCATTCAGAAATAGAATCAAAATAGTGAGTGATCTGGGCTTCCTCAGTTCAGGTCTCCAAAAGTTTCCGCATGAAGTTTCTCGGAAGAACGAAAGTTATTGTTTTGATCATCATTGGAAGCCATGACACTAATCAAAACTCAGAAACCAAACAACAACCGGAAACCAAAAAAAAGAATAAACCTTTAGGATTGGTGCGAAGGAGGCCGATGCTCAGATTCTATGGGAGTATAAAAGAGTCTGTCATGCCAATAGCATTCAGAACGAGGAATTATATTTTCTAATCACCGCAATCGACCCCTCTTCCCCTTCCTTTCAGATACGCTAGAAAAATGAAAAGAAATTCTTTTGCACCAAGAAATTGAAAGAAAAGCTTGAACTGGGAGGAGGCTTTTCATGAATTCCCATGGCTGCTGAAAGAAAGACTGAAGCTTTGTGGCTGCGGTGGCAGAGCAATGAGGCGCGGCTATTAAATAGAAGGGACGAGGGAGGAACAGAGCGGATTATTGCTGAGGGCTGAGGCCCTCTAGGCTCTAACCCTAACGAACTATTCGAGCGAGTTAAGGAATAAGGAATAGCCCGCTGGTTTGATGGATACTGGGTCCGTTACAGCCTAATTCGAGATCTAACTTGGAGCTAACTGAGGAGTATTTTTAGCCCACGGGCCCATAATCTTGAGCCTGCTGAAAGTCCGAACAGTTTGCGAGGCTAGGCTGCTGGACAGTTTGATGGGGTCACTTGATTAGGAGGACGGCGTAGTATTCACAGCAGGTAGGGGTGAACAAAACCCCGCAAATCGATCCAACCGTCCAACCCGACTCAACCCACCCATATTTATTGTTAAAATTATTATTTAAGATTGGGTGAGGGTTTTAATATGTACAACCCGCCTCTATTGGATTGGGTGTGGATTTTGGGTTACGCAACCCGTAGAAACCGACCCAACCCGTGTTCCAATTATTGTCATAAATATTCGTATACAAAACATATTTGTGTAGTATATAAGCATATTCATAATAAAATAAAATATTTTATCATAATTTTCTCTGTGGTTTCCCTTGCCTAATGCATTATTCTACTTCAAATTATAGTTGTAGACGTATATTTAATATAGGCTACAAATCATATAATTTATTGTGTGTACAATTTTAAAAGAATAATATTCACTTATGTTTAAGCAAATGTTTGTGAGAAAAATCACCCATATTTATCGTTAAAATTATTATTTAAGATTGTGTGAGGGTTTTAATATGTACAACCCGCCTCTATTGGGTTGGGTGTGAATTTTGGGTTACGCAACACGTAGAAACGGACCAACCCGTGTTCCAACTATTGTCATAAATGTTCTTATACAAAACATATTTGTGTAGTATATAAGCATATTCATAATAAAATATTTTATCATAATTTTCTCTTGTGGTTTCCCTTGCCTAATGCATTATTCTACTTCAAATTATAGTTGTAGACGTATATTTAATATAGGCTACAAATCATATAATTTATTGTGTGTACAATTTTAGAAGAATAATATTCACTTATGTTTAAGCAAATGTTTGTGGGAAAAACTAGACTTAAGTTTAAGCCAATGTTTATTTAGACAAATGTTTGTGGGAAAAACTAGACTTATGTTTAAGCAAATTGTATTTCATTAAAATGCAAACACCATTTATGAATTTTCATACTTTTGGCTTTGATTTATTTGTTTAAAATTTTAATTAGTTATATAATATTTTGTGGTGTAGTATAGTTGTCTTTTTTGTATTGGGCTGGATTTTTAAATAAAAGTATCGCCAACCCGACCCAACCAACTATAAACAAACCGTAGGGTTCTAAATTTTTTGGGTAGGTTTGGATTTGGGTTTTTCAAAACCGTAGTGTATGGGTCGGGTGATTAAAATGACCAAACCCGAATCACTCGACCCATGTACACCCCTAACAGGAGGTATTGCAGAACATGTACGAGCACCCTCTAATGGAAAAATCAAATTTAATGAAGATTTGATTCATCCCACACGTGCACATCATGGGCATCCTTCTTTTCTATGTTATATAGACTTAGATGTAATTATTGAGAGTGAAGATATTATACATAACGTGACTATTTGGTTAGCATTTGAAGTGTATGTGGGCACCGGGCCGTGCCGCCCACGGGCTAGCAGGACACGACACAGTTAGAGCACGACACGAGCACGGGCACGAAATAAATGGGCCAGCTCGGCACGAGCACGAATAATTGTGGGTCGTGCCGGGCCTAAACTTCATGGCCACGGGCACGACACGGTATATAAGTGGGCCGTGTCGGGCCTAATATTTTCGAGACTTTATTGAGTATAAGAACGGACATGGCATGTAAATAATATTTATTTGATAGAAAATAAATATAAAAAGAATTATAGGTTCCAATATTACAAAACAAAAGTAAAAAATAATTATTTGTTGTTGTTAGAAGTGTCACAAAGATATATACGTAAGTACTAACATAAGTAAAAGTGGACAAAGAATTAAACAAAGCCAAATCACACTCGTTGTACTTACAATTTTCTTTTCCCCCCTATTTGTTACTTTTCTCAAACATTATCGGTTAATACTATCTTCCCCCGTCCAATTTTCACCTTCTTTTTCATTCTCTCTTTTGTTTTCGTCCTTTTCATTAAACACGAATACGAGCATGGCACGAGCACGAATAGGCACGACACGATTTGAACCGTGCCCGGACCTGGGCCGGGCCTAGCAAAGTTGACAAATGGGCTTGCATGGCACGACACGAAAACTGACGGGCCGTGCCAAGCACGACACGAAATAAATAGGCCCGAAGGGTGCCCGTGCCATGCTGGCCCAAGCACGACCCAACGCTCATGGACAACTAGAAGTTTGGTACTGGTATTTGGAATTCTACCGAATATCGTACCGAATTTATCACTATTGATATTATCGAATACCAATTTCTTTTTTGGGATTGGGATTGAGTTTCATTTTCGAGTGTTATTCGGTATTTGGAATTGGCATTGGTATAATACCGAAATATCGATAAATTAAAAATGAATGAAATATTACACAACTAAGCGAGTTAAAAAAAATCCTGCTGAAAAAAGGGTGTAATGGAATTTTTTTATATAGTTAAAATAGAAGAAAGGGATAATCCATTTTATTAGTTATCCGAATAAAGCTAAAGAATTTGGATTATTGAGAACCCAATGGTCCCCTCAAGTTAGAAACATAGGGGGGACCATTGAATTGAGTTCTTACACTTTCATCTCTACGTTCATCCGATTACTAAAGGGATGAACCCAATCCGGAATATGAACCATAAAAGAAAATTCCTATTAAACCGATCACAAGAATACCCGCTACAGTGCCTATTATCCAAAGAGGAATCCTTCCAGTAGTATCGGCATTTGGTCATTACTCACTCTTTGGCAACTCACAATGCCCCATACAACACAATTTTAGTTTTCTAATTTAAGACACTTCTCTCTCACTCAATCTCTTGTTATTTTCTTACCACCAAAAGGCATACACTCTCATTAGTCATCTCTCGCCCTCCAATCTATCGAATTAACGATTATAAATAACAAGAAATTGAAATTGCCACCATCTCTTTCCTTCTCCTTCTCCTTCTCCATGTCCTAACTCTAGACAAACCGAAAACCTTTTGCATAGTATCTTTGTCCTAAAATTAGATTACATACTCTAATTTATATATTTAATTATTAGATGCAAATAGGGATTGGAATAACGACAATAACGATTGGGATATCAAAATATTTAGAAATTTCGATATTGGTATTAGGATATCGATACCGTACCGATTTTCACCCCTAGTTGTGGTGCACGCACAGTAGACAGTAAAGTCTGGCTACCAACTATAGTCTGCAGCGTGAAATGAGCAATTGGTAATTCGGCGAGCTTCGGCAAATGATCTACAACTTGATCGAGGTGGAGAAGTGCTTGAGGAAGTGCGGCGGCTGAACATCTCTTTTTCATTTGTTTGTTTTATGCTCCTCGTAGTACTAACAAAGTTGTCCCTTACGTGGAAAAAAGGACCCTTGAATCGATAACTCAATATTTGGTTGACTATCGCTTTTATTTTGATCACTTTATAATATCCTGCCCATTATTGAGCTGTCTATGACAAAAAAAACTATACATTCACTAGCATGATGTGTTTTAGGCATAAGAGGATTTGGTCCAAATCGATATAGTATTGGATCAGAATCAAAGAAAATTTAGGGTCTGAATTAAATTAGAAGTATATCCATTTATTTGGTTTGATTTGGTCTGATTCAAAATTAATTTTGGTCTATTTTCTTTCATATTTAAATAATCCATACGATTGAAATATATTCGATCTGATTCGACCCAAATATCAATTCGGGCTGGTTTGGATGTGATCATTGCACATCTCTGGGGAAGGAAAAAAGACTCAGTTTAGGGGTATTGCCCAAATCCAGATGGTTATGAGTCAGGTCAGGTATATGTAATATTTAGTTTGGGTCAAATAATTAAATTAGGTTTAAATTCAGGCTCACTAGATTCTGTTTCATTTTGACTATATAAAGACTGTCACGGTAGATTGTACAGAGTCTAAAAGGTTGAAAAGGAAGGCCATTGGACTTGTAGCTAAGCCATTGGAGTTTGGTTGCAGTGTCTGCAAGTGCTCTATATTCATCTTCTATTGAAGAACGAGTGACTACCTACTGCTTTTTGGACCTCAACTAATTAAGATTTGACCTAAAAAGATGCATAAACCGGTCACTGGTCTTTTGATTTTAGGACAACTAGCCTAGTCTAACCTGGGAAGGCATCAAGTTTAAGATCTAAAGATGTTGAGAAGAACAACCCTTAACTAGAGTTGACTTTATGTATATGAGTAGATGACAAGTAACTTGTTCATGTATGGTTGTCATCAGTGGATAAGTCTTAGTTTATTCATTATGTAGCTTATATTTGGTCTTGTTGTGCAGAGATATGATGAACAACTAGCGGCCGAACCTCGTCCCACGCAGCCCATGCACGCCCAAGTTGGCACGTGTCAGTCCGACTAAACTCTGAAGCCCCCAATCCACGTTAGAGTTAGTTTGAGTGTTTATTATTATTAATGTTGTTGGCTGGTTTGGAAAAGTGATGACTCGATATTTGCACATGTTTTCCCCTTTGTTTTTTGATCGTTTAAGCTTTCATTATCGCTTCTTTGGCCTATTTTAAGCTAATTTGTGTTCATTTGTCACATTTTAGGTCCTAGCATGTAAAGTGAAGCATGGGCGCAAGTTTCAAGTCATCAGAGATCAATTGGCGATTCGAGAGAAGAAACTCGGGCATGTCCTAAAGAAGAATGGATTTCTACATCATTTTATGGATAAAAAATCGTGTAAACTTGTCATGAAAAGAAAGAGTACGAAACTAAGAGTGTCTGGGATCAAACGACGACTGATTCAGAGTCCGGATGAGGGAGATATGAAGCATCAAAGGTAGCGGAAGAAACACGGGCAGACTACCCTAAAAGCACGGTCGTGTTTCATCTGGCCCCCGCCAGTGTTTTTTATGCCGAAGCTGACTCTTGAAGAATGCTGAAGGGATGCAAAACACGGGCAGACGAAAGCACAGCCTGCGAAACACGACCGTGTTTTTGTCCCTGCTCGGGTATAAGTCTGTTTTCTGCGATTTTAGAGAGAGAGGGTTGGGTTTTGGATTCCAAACACCTAAGGGACGAACCAAAGAGAGAGAGGGCGATTTGAGGGCACTCTTGGAGTGGAATTGGAGGATTTCTTTGCCTTGGAAGCTCGAGGAACAAGTCCGAACTTGAAGACTGATCATCTGAAGATTCTTACTGCAGTCTCTCTCTTCTCTATGGAGTAACTTCCCTTCACTTAGGTTTTGAGGAACCCTAACTATGTTTTTTTTCTTGGATGATTGTATGAGTACTCTCACTTGATAATCTTGAGTTCATATTCAATCTATATATGTTTTCATGATTCAATTATGCTTTAGTCAAGATTATTGATTCTGCTTTGATCTTATGAGAGCGAATACCTGATTAGGTCAATAGAGCGCCATAGATTGATAGTATTGGATCGATTGATTTAGTCAAGGGTCGATTCACTGCTTTGTATCGATTGACAACCTCATCCGATAGAGGGAATTTAGTTCAGAATGCCTTGATCGGTTGTTCTAGAGAAGGATATGTCCCTCTAGGCAATTGACTCAAGAGGGCCTTGTTCCTTTAGTCGAGACTCAATGTCTAGTTAAGGATTCTCTGCATTGTGAATGAAAGTGAAACATGTTATAGATCATCAATCATTAATCTGGCTAGTGGCTAGGGGGAATCATACCTAAGTGAGTTCCCAACCTGTAATTAGATTAACTTTAACTGTAGTTTGCTATAGTAGTTTTAGTTGTTCCATCTTAATCTCGTTTGCAAGATAACGAACTAAAGCTGAGTAATAGTAACCCTAGTGATTCGTGGGTTCGATATTTATAACTTGAGCCACTATACCGCAGTCCCTTTCATTGGTTACATTTGGCCTTTGTTAGAAGTTGTGCCATAGCGAGTCAAAAAGGATTATCATTGTACGAACTATTTAAGAAGGTTTTGTCGTGAAATAAAGTTAACAATGACCCAAATAAAAGGCCCTTTTGCGTCCAGCAGGAAAACTCTCAAACCGAGAGCTTCGGTTCATCAATTGGTATCAGAGCCATGGTCCTCGACCTAGCCCCGATCTGCACACTAAAGCTATGCACGTTGGCGATACGTGAGGATATCACGGCGACTGGTGCACAGCTGGCTGTGACATTGAAGCAACTCAAGGCTCAATGCCGCGAGTGGGAATTAAACGATGACGCGCAAACCCCCCATGGCAAGGTGCGCAACGACGATAATGACGAGGCCTGCATCGACGCTAGTGTGATGAAGGCAACGACCGACTCAACAATATCTCTCCATGCGGCTACCGGGGTTTCGGGACTGAAAACCCTAAGGTTCCAGGCGCAAATCAAGGGAGTTCCTATAGTGGTGTTGGTCGACAGTGGATCAACCCATAATTTCATCTCTGAAGCTAAAGCGGAAGAGAGTAAGCTGGCCTTGGAGCCAATCGAGCCATTCGTCGTGCGTATTGCAAATGGAGAACGATTGCGTTGTGAGGCTAAATGCCCTAACGTACAAATCGAGATACAAGGAACAACATTGGTGGTATTATTGTTTGTGCTACCCATTCGCGGCTTGGACATGGTGTTGGGCGTACAATGGTTGGAAGAATCGGGTATAGTAATTTGTGATTGTAAGGCCCTAACGATGAAGTTCAAGTGACGGGATAAAGACTGTAAGTTACAGGGCGTGGCTATTATGCTGTGGTGGGCGAATCTCGATGAGATTTGCGGCGAGGATGGGATATAATATGGGCAATTTGTCTTACACTCCAATCCGAGGACTTCGTGGTCCTACCTCCGGACCTATAAGAATTATTGCAAGAATTTGAGGCGGTTTTTGAGACCCGTGCAAAATTACCTCCTTCTCGAGCTGAGGATCATCGCATCAAGTTAAGAGAATGGACGGATGCGATCAATGTCCGACCATACCTCTAAGGTTATCACCAGAAAGGGGAGATTGAGAAGTAGGTTCAAGAGATAATGAGAGTTGGGTTTGTGTGCCCTAACTTAAGCCACTTCTCTTCGCCAGTGCTTTTGGATGAATACTTACGGTGGATGACATGCTAGACGAATTGCATGGGGCCAAGTACTTTACGAGGCTCGACTTAAGGGCAGGATACCATCAAATTCGGATGGCTGAAGAAGATGTGCACAAAACAACTTTTCGTACCCACAACGATCACTATGAATATTTGGTAATGCCTTTCGAGTTATTCAATGCGCCATCCACGTTTCAAGCAGCAATGAATGACCTATTCCGAGATGTTATGCGCCGGTATGTGTTGGTCTTCTTCCTGTGCCACTAATATCACCGAATTGCGAGGGTTTTTGGGTCTCACAGGTTAGTATAGGAAATTTGTCCGTAATTATGGGGCGATAGCTAAACTGTTGACTGGCCAACTCAAGAAGGGTGGTTATTAGTGGAACGATGAGGCGGAGGCTGCTTTCAACGATCTTAAGCGCGCCATGGTCATGACCCCAACGTTAGCTATGCTAAATTTTCAATTATCGTTCGTCATCGAGGCCGACGCATCCGGAAAGGGAATCGGGGCGGTGCTAGCACAGGAGGACAGACCTATTGCGTATATGAGTAAGATGCTTGGACCAAAAAAGGCGGCTTGGTCCACGTATCAAAAGGAGATGTTGGCCATTATGACAGCAGTACAAATGTGGCGTCCTTATCTACTAGGGCAGAAGTTTCAAATCTACACCAACCAGAGGAGCTTGAGACATCTCTTTGATCAACGAGTGGCGACTCTGGATCAACATAATTGGCCTAGCAAACTAATGGGGTATGACTATTCGATACACTACCGAACGAGATCGAGTAATCAAGTGGCGGATGCATTATCGCGACTACCAACTGACCCTCATTTGGATGCTATGTCACAACCCTTATCGTCATTATGGGACGAGCTACGAGATGCGATAGCCCAAAATTCCTATTTGTAGGAGGTGATGGAACGAGCCCGGGCAACTATGCTTATCGGCAGGGCCTTGTCTTCTTCAAAGGGTGGGTGGTCTTACCACCATTGTCGAGTTTGATAACTACTATCCTCCAGGATTTTCATGATACCGCTATGGGGGGTTCATTCCAGGGTTCAGCGAACTCTCCCAGGGGTCGTTGGACACTTCTATTGACCGCAGATGAGTCGCGCAGTTCCCGATTACGTGGCCTCCTGCGATGTCTGTCAATGCTTCAAGGTGAATTCCATGGCCCCTGCTGGCTTGCTCCAGCCTATGCGGATTCCCTGTAAGATATGAGAAGATATTTTTATGGATTTCGTTGAGTGTTTGCCAATGTCTGGGGCCGATCAGTCTTATATGTGATGGTGGACTGGTTAACCAAATATGCTCACTTCATGGCGCTCGCGCACCCATATATGGTGCGTAAGGTGGCCGATGAGTTCATCCAGGGAGTAGTGCGTCATCATGGCATTCCTTCATCGATTGTTAGTGACATGGATGCCCATAAGAAGCCACCCAAGTGGCATATGTTTCTGCCCTGGGACGAATTATGGTACAATACTTCGTACCATCACACTATAGGCATGACACCGTTTAAAGCTCTGTACAGGTGGGAACAATTGATGAGCCCAAAATCGGGACTCAAGGGGATCAATGTTGCGCAGAAACAGTTCAAGCAAGGCACTTGAACTCAATTAGAACCGAACTCAAAACCAACTTGATTTAAGCGGAATTGAACTCGAAATTGGGCGGATCGAAAGGGAATCCTTACACCTGGAAGGATGCACAATCGAGTGTTGAAGCTTTCGATGTGAACGAGTGTGTTTGCTCGTTCAATAAGCAAGGTTCAGCAAGCTTTTGATCGCAACCAAAAACCAATCAAACTCACAAACTCTCAAGTCTGGGAATTGGGGTAAAATTCATTCAATCGTATTATGAATAATACAATACGAGTAGGAGGCCTTTTATAGGCTTAAACAATTACAAACAAACTAGAACAAGGACTGAAATTAACCTAACTAAGCAAGAAAACTGAATTACAAACATAATCCGAATGAAAAGAGGAATCCTTGTGGGACTCGGATTACTGGCAGTGTGAGGTAGCTTCTTTGAAGCCCTCGAAAATGGTCTTCCTGGATGAATCGATCTCACCCAATGCATTTTCGTTGTAGAAGAACACTTCCTCTTTCACCTCCAATTGGAATCAGCCCAAACTCATACTCCAAACTCCAGATATAGGCCTTCAAAGTTGGCATCTCGGAACAGCTTTCTGCCATAGCCAAATTCAGGCAGTTTTCCTGTTTTGAGGTGGCCTTTTGATGAGCTTTGAAAACAACGTTCCAGACCTTCCCTTGAGCTCCACAATACACCAACGTAAAGATAATAACTTGATCTTCAAAATGACACCTTGAACTTGAATTTCTATTGAGCCATTTGGGAGTAAGCAAGCTGCCAAAGATGGTATCTTGAAACACTAAAATGACACAACCAAAATTCCCTCTCTTTATCTGTGATTGATCCAGCTTCTTGATTGATCTTGTGAGGTTTGGAATTCACTGGGTTTGGGATCATATCAACAACCGAATATTATTCCTTGTGCCAGGGGAGAGAGTTTGGTGGATGCGGTGGACGTGTTGCTCGGGGAGCGTGATGCGATTCTCCGTGACCTTTAAGACAACCTTGATGGCTGCAAATGAGTATATAAAGCAACGGGCTGATTTGAAACGCAGAGAACTCAAGTTCGAGGTGGGAGATTTAGTATTTCTTTGTCTTCAGCCGTAACGGAAGAGTTCAGCATTTCGGCGGGGCTTGTCAAGAACCAGTTGCTCCCAATAACTCGAGTTGTTGGGAGAAGGTTATGCTGGATCATATACCACTCTCTAACACGCCCCCTCAAACTAAAGCCAACTCATGGGCTTGAAGTTTGCACAGGCCCACCATCCCATGTGCTTGAAAGATAACGATTAATATTGGGGGTCGTGGAGATTCGAACACATGACCTTTCGGTTCTAGGCTCTGATACCATGTCAAGAACCAGTTGCTCCCAATAACTCGAGTTTTTGGGAGAAGGTTATGTTGGATCATATACTACTCTCTAACAGGGCTCGCAGAAATTGGCTGCTCGATACTTTTGTCTATATCCTGTGGCGGCTAAAGTGGGACATGTTGCGTATCGGCTGAAATTTCCTGACGGTGTGCCAATTCATTCCGTGTTTCATGTTTCCTTGATCAAGCCGTATCTTGGGACCCCCTGTGACATTTCTTGAAGTTCGGCCGGTTTCTGACGATGGGGATGTGGTCATTCGACCCATTTTGTTGCTGGATCATCGCTGGGTACGAATGACGACACGACGTGGGAACTGGTGTCCGAGTTACTAGAGAGGTTCCCCGACTTCGCCCTTGAGGACAAGGTCGTTATTCCGGAAGGGACCAATGATGAACAACTGGCAGCCGAACCTCGTCCCATGCAGCCCATGCACGCCCAAGTTGGCCCTCGTCAGTCCGATCGAACTCCGAAACCCAATCCGCGTTACACTTAGTTTGGGTGTTTATTATTATTGTTGTGGTTTGCTAGTTAGGAAAAGGATTATCATTGTCGTGAAATAAAGTTAACAATTACTATCTAAGAAGGTTTTGTCGTAAAATAAAGTTAACAATGACCCAAATAACAAAAGGCCCTTCTGACCCCAGCAGGAAACCGAATTGCTATTCGTCGCCCTAAAATTCAAATTTTATCGCCCTAAAACACAATAAATTGACATATTTATCCTCCATCCCAATTTCAATTATAACCCCCAACCAAACAATCCCTTCCTCACCCCAACCCACATCCGCCACCCTCACCAGAAAAGAACCGTCGCCTCCCATGTCCCAACCCCAATCTTCTGCCGCCGTTGCTACTCCCGCCGGAGGGAAGGAGGAAGAAGAATCAAGTATGCCGCCTACTCCCGCTGCTGCAACTCGAGCGCGGAGGGAGAGAGGAAGAAGAAGCAAGTCGGAGGAGCGTCCCTTTATCATATGGTCCTCTATCGGAAACCCCAAAGTGTCAAATCCTATCCAACCAAATTCGTCAACCGAACTATAATCGACCAGAAAAACGTTTTCCTCTTTCTCGCGCATACCTGCAAGACCAACAAACGAAGAGAAACACATAAACCATAAGGTATCAATTATGGTACTATAACAATCAACGAAAGTTCATTAGGAAAATGAGAAGAAGAGACAATACCTCTAGTTTCAATTCAGAGCTAGCGGAAACAAAGCCATCCGCCATCGTTAATCGTCACATATTGGTTGGCATGACAATGACGTGAAGACGGTAATGACGTGGAAGTAGATTTACATGTCATAGACAGTCCATTACATATTTTGTTTGAGTTCTCATCAGTCGAGACAAAGTCATCGACGGGAAAGGAGAAGCAGCAGCGGAGAGTCTCCTCCGACTAACAGCTCTCTCGATTGACCGTGCCACCCGACAAATGAACTAAGGACATCAAAGTAAATTTAATTTAATTAGGGCGACGAATAAGAAATTTTAGTGCGACGAATAGCAATGTCCGCAGGAAAACGCCCGAACTGAGAGCTTCGGTTCATGAAGATATTGAAGTTTGTCAATGATTTACTTGTAAGAATTGATTCATGCTTAATCCATGGGAGTTCCTTCAGTGCTGGTGAGGTGAGTTCCACGAGTAGATAGTGTCGAAGTTGACTTGGAGGAAGTGAAACGTGTGTTAAAAAGTACGTCAATTGCATATTTTTGTTGACAAAGGTGTACTCCTTTACTGGATCTAGTTAGTTCCAGCCAATGTAGTATTTTAGTGGTCCAAGGTATTTGATTGTAAAAGCATCATCATGAGGTAGTAATCATTATCAACTAATTAATTCATTGTCCTAACACCTCATATTCTATTTTGAATCCCAACCCAAAATCTCAAATTGTAAACCCTAAGTCTAAACCCTAAATCACTCAAATTAAAGTAAATCGTTGATGATTTTTGTGCAAATTCATGTGTTTTCTTTTCCATCATAATACAAGTGATGACTGACATCGTTTTCACATGAATCGGTTGCTCAATGACAAATATGAGGCGAGTGCATTTGATGCACAAAAACAGTATGTGCACCGAAAATAAAACTATATAGTTACGAGCCATTAAATTCCAATTCGATACGGTTCATCACCTAACGAAATAACCAGTTGTAAACCCATGAGGTTTCGATCAGTTCCGTCACATTGACTAACGAGTTAGTTAATGGTTTTACTTGTTTTCGTATGGTAGACTACAACGTGCATCAATATTGTGGAAATGTCTCCCAACCTCTTTCTCAATCATGTGGTTACCGGTGTAAATAAATGAAATTCTTTATCTAGTGATTAGAAAAATATATAGTACTGGAAATTTCTGGCCGGCAGGTTTCAGGAATATGGTGAGTGGTTACTATTACGGGCAATTGAATTCCAATTTGACTGCTGATAGGGACGCCACGCCACCAATGCCTTCTTTCTTGTGTTGTTTTGAACCGCTAGCTGGGCAACAGGACAGAAGGAAGCTCACAAAAGGTCATAAGTTTCAGCATCACTTTGTGCTATATGTTTATTGAATGCTGTCAATTCCTAGTACACTGTGCACATTTCGACTTTGTTTGTCCCCTGCTGATCAAGTCCGTCCGCCTACTTGGGCCTTTTTCTCCAAATACACGTAAAATTAAAAATAATTCCTAAACTACCACACTTATTGAAAAGTTTCTCAAAATACCTAAGTTTGGAGTCATTCGAGTTTAAGGAAATCGAACTACTAATTGGTTTGAGTGTAGGAGACTCGATCTAGACGTAGATGGATGATGTAAGCATCGAACCATGTGGGGCTGAAGTGGTTCGAGTTCGGTGAACTCGAACTACTCCTTTGAAATTTCCAACAACCTTAACTTTGTGCTCGGTTATCCAATCGTAGCAAAAAAAATTTCATTTCACATAACTTTCACATAATTATCCGAACGTCGCAAAGTTTTTTTTTTATTTTGCATAATTTTTTGAGTACTACAACATTTACTAGGAATACATTTTCAAAATAGGAATATTTTTTAATATAAGGGGGTTTTGGAATAAATTTAACTTTAATTTTCAATTTTCCACATATATTCTGAAAATATTTCTAATATAAAAGTTGTAGTCCTCGAAAGTTATGCGAAATGAAAAATAAGTTTGCTATGATTAGATAACCGAGCACAAAGTTAAGGTTGTTGGAAATTTCAAAGGAGTAGTTCGAGTTCACTGAACTCTAACCACTTCATCCTCACATGGTTCGAGACTTACATCATCAATCTACGTCTAGATCGAGTCTCCTATACTCGAACCAGTTAGTAGTTCGAGTTTCTCAAACTCGAACCACTCCAAACTTATGTATTTGGGGGGAGGGGGGAATTTATAAGTGTGGTAGTTTAGAATTTTTTTTAATTTTATGTGTATTTAGGGAATTTTTCCGCCTACTTCTTACCCGTTTCCATAATAACCCATATATTCATCAATAACTCATAACTAATTAGTCGCTTTTTATTAGTTTATTATGTGACACAAGTTGCGAGTTCAGTTCACATATATGTAGTAATGGCAATGGGGCGGGGCAGGACGGGTACCTCAATTCCAATGCCTCGCTCCACGCTACTACGGGGCGGGGAGGGTAAAACCCGCGCGAGTACGGGACGGGGCGGGTTGACCCACTCTTACATGTTATTCAAAAAAATACAAATAAATTTTACTTTTTACGATAAAAGGAAGGGAAAAACACTTTAAGAATGAAAAATAGTGATAATAGAATGGGTAATTGAGTCTAACAAGTTGAAAGAACGACTCTAACTAGTTGAAGAAAAGTCAAAATAGGAGAAATATGTATATAAATTGTAAGAAATTGAGATAAAATGAGTCTAGAATGGGGCGGGGCAGGGCGGGTCGGAAGTAGATACCCATGCCCCGCCCGACACTACTGCGGGTCGGGTAATACCCGCCCTATTGCGGGTCAGGTCGGGTAATACCCGCGGGGCGGGTTGAAATTGCCATCACTACATATATCGTGACAAAATGATCAGCTTGTAGAGTAAGAGAAGGTAAAATTAAATAATTTTATTGAAATCGAACTCGGATGCTTTATAATAGAGTATGATATAATCTAGCAGCCTGCAACTTTCAATATATTGTATCTCATGTAATTCACATTTTGTAACTTAAATTCAAATATAAAAGAGAACTATAATCTTAGTTGATTATATGTAACTCCGTTTTTTTTTTCTTTTTATCCAAGATAAGCCCACAAGGCATGGCCGGACAACAAACATATAAGACAGATAATAATAAAGAACGGTAGTCCGTATGCAACCGGACTCCCGATAAAAGAGCCTGTTATTAGGGGTGGCTATACGGTCCGGTCCGGTTAAATTGGACCAAATTGATCCGGTCCCAGTCAGGTCTTTTCGGGAATATAAGGACCAAAGATTGGATTGGATACAGTCCGGTCTTGACCCGATCCGGTCCCAATTTTATCTTGATTTTAGGTGTTGGGGGTCTCTTATCCGGTCTTTATCCGGTTTTTACCTCAAATCTAAGCCCGAATATGAGATTGCATTGTTTGCTATCCGGTCCCGGTTCGGGTTATACGGTCCGGTTTCGGGTAAAACCAAACAGTCCGGGACCAAATTGCCAGCCCTACCTGTTATGCCACGAGATGGACAGCTCTAAGAAAGCTCCAAAGAGCAAAATGACACGAAACTGACTCAGATAGAGAGAAGAAGGAGAATACTATCCCATGAATACCCCGTATGGGTGATAAGGCATCTTGATTACGTCTAAATACGAAAGCTAAGGAAACATCCCCTGCAAAACAAAACAAACTGATAGACCGATAAAATTAATTTAATTATCTTCAATTACTTCCACCAAATGAGCACGGTGGCTGGAATAATGAAAGAAAGTAATTGCATATATTAGTAAGTAATTAAATTAATTACAAAAAGAGGTGACTTAACGAATTCCCGTCCCGGAAACGAAGTCAAAACCCATGAGTAATGAAATTTGCAAGTAGGAAAGGAAAGATTAAGAATTAGTTACGGACTATAAAGGGGAAAGATTAGAAATTCACACCCACGACCCCATAAATGATGATTATTAGTAATTAAACCTCTATGAAATAAAGAGACCAAGAATAGGCAATTAACAATTGAAAAAGGCAATTAATTACTGAAAACGTAATCAACAGAAAATTAAATCACCATTTTGAGTCTCGGAAAATTTGTACCCGAGAGAAATTAGAGGAAACAGAAAATTAAACAGAATTACCCTTACCGTCTACCTCTTAATTAATACCTACCGGAAAGATCCTCTTCACCGGAATCTTCATCGGCGAAGTGAAAAGGTACGACGAAACCATGATTTTGGGCAAGAAAGCTTGAATCCGATTCCATGTTTGATGCTCCCTGAAACCATGAAATTGGGCAAGAAAGGAACCGCATTGCAGCTTCCTTGTCGTCCCAAGGAGTCTCAATGAAGGAGCACTAAATAGACTACATGCACCTGATAAACAGAGCCTAGAAAGGCTTTCAGATATTGTACAAGCCTCATCACCAGAGATCTTTTGGATGATAAGCTAACGGAGCCTCGTAACTCCGTTAATTGTATAGGGAGTAATTGATCATGTCACAATCCTCCCACTAGCAGACGGAAATAAGCTAACGGATCGTAACTCCGTTAATTGTATAGGGAGTAATTGATCATGTCACAATCCTCCCACTAGCAGACGGAAATAAGCTAACGGACAAACCTACAGAAACTTTAATTAACTAATAATTAATTCTATTTAGAAACTAAGCCCCTATTATCGACTTGGTCTTCCTTCTCTAACTTTCTTTTTTGTCCTCACTACCCAATTCCGTTCCATTCTAATTGATAACACCTAATACTTTTATATATCATCAGTAAACTAAAGGAATAATACCTTATTTTAGCACGAACTATATCCATATAATCAACTTTGATTATTAATTTGATTGTCAATTCAAACGGTTAACACCGTTGACCGTTAGTCAACGTTCTAGCTCGTTGTCATGTCAGCACCAAACAAAAAAAATTCAAAATATTTTATTATTTCATTTATCACATTAATATGATAAAAAATGATGTTAAAAATTAAATCCAACAAATTAATTTTGGCCACCCATGGCCAGCTTATCCCCTCGCCTCTTTCTAAATCGAGCAAACCAAAATTGAACCCTAATCTAGAGAAGAGCAAATTGAACCCTAATTTCGGCCACCCATCCACAGCATTACAAAATCTACCATTGCCTTCTTCTTCTTCTGCGAGGAAAACTATCATAATCAAACTCGTTTCACCAAACTGGAAAGCTCTGCTCAAGTTCATCCCACGGCGGGCCTTCGCCGGCAGCCGAGAAAACATTCATAGCCAGCTCGGGTTTCTTTATTCCGACGAGTCTAGAGTGAGAAAATCAATCGAAGAGTGTTAGAGAGAGTTTTGGAGAATGCTAATTCACTAACGGTCAATTATGTTGACCGTCTAATTTGACGAAAATTCACGAGTTGAGCCAATTAAGTGTATATGGTATATAGTTGAGGCCAAGATAGCAATTTATAAAATCACTGGGCAAAGTTAATTATGTGGATATAGTTCGGATCAAAATAAGATATTAATCCTAAAATAAATGTTGTAACAATTGATAATAAAAAATAAAGAAAAAAAACAAATTAGTTTCATTAATACAATATGTATTAGCTAGTCCACAAATAAAAGAGATCAATTTTACTATACCAAGGAGAATTCATAATACAAAGTAACAAATGTTATTTTCATCTTCCCATAAAAAAATGTTATTTTCATCCAAAATTGAAGGGAGCAATTGCTACCATGACTTTTCCTCAAAATAATCATTCTCTTGTACGATAAAACTTATATTTTCGCCCTTTTTATTCAACGAAAAAAAAACTTATAAATAAATAAGAAAAAATTATGAATTCTTCTTCAAATTTCCCTCAATTTTTCCCCACCCTGAAATTTCCCTTATTATGATGAGAGAGTAAACAAAAAGAATCAATACAATTAATCTAACCCGTGACTACCGAGGCAACAACAATTATCTTATCATCCAAAAGCAAGTGACATACGCTCTCCAATACGTGGGACCCACCACCGTAGCCATGGCCATGTTTTCTTCCCCAGCTCTTGCCGTGACCGTCCCTCTAATTAGCTATATATATATATATATATATATATACGGACGCCAACGCAGCCACAGAACAAATACACTAAACACATAAAAATGTACCGTAGCAAGGGCAAGGTTCCCTTCGCATGGGAAAACAAGCCCGGGATCCCCAAACGTGCGGCCGGCGCCTCCGCCGTGGAAGTAGATCAAGCAGAAGACGACTACCCAAGCGAGTCCGGCGAGTTCGTGGTCCTGCAGGGAGCACTCGCCGCAGCATTCCCGCCTTCTTATCCTCCGTCGGCACGCGGCCGGCCGTTGACTCGCCACGTCGCCATCCCACCGCCTCCTCCTCCCGCCCACCGCCATCGCCTGCGTGTCTACGTGGACGCCGACCCTTTTGCGGCGGCGCTGGAGGAGTGCAAGAGGCCGAGGAGCAAGAAGATGACCAAACCGTCGTCATTCTCGTCGTCCTCCTCATCATCATCCACGTCAGCATCAGGCGGCGAGAGGGGCGAGGTGCTGGTGAGTGTTGGAGCGAGGTGGAGAAAGTTGATTGCGCTGTCTGGTTTCTCTTGTAGGCACTCGGCGGTTCTCGATGTTTATGATTGTAATTAAGTTTCGTCACTACAACGGAAAAGAGTTTTTTTTTTCTCGCCATCAAAACAGTATTAGTCGATCGTTGAAAACGAAAATAGGGTCACGGTTGTCGTGTCGCAATAATTGTATGGTGGTGATGTTAGGAGAATATTGAACGGTGGCCTACAGCGGCGCGTGGCCACTTGGGGCACCAATGTCCACGCGCTTCCATGTTATACCACCGATATATATACCGCTATCGCTATGGCTAAATTACACGGTTGGTCACTTAAGTTACATAAATCTTTCACATTTGTCCATTGAATTACTTTTTTTATATTGGTCACTAAAATTACTCCGTCAGTTTTATGTGGCAAACGAAACTGCTAACTGGACTATTAGCTTAATCACATGTCAATTTAAAAAAATAAAATAATTTACACAGGCGGGCCGCAACCGCAACACCCTCTTCTTCTTCGCCCTTTCCTTCACTGTGAGCTTCCGAAGAAGAATCCCTAACCTAGAAAAGTTCACTATGCTGCTAGAAAATCAAATGAAGCAATACTTGGTCTTGCACCGTAGTGCTCACAGATTGTAACAAAATAAAAATAAAAAATCTCAGACCACATGTTTGCGATTCAGACGATGTTGAGGAGAGAACAACATCTCCCTTTTCGCAAGACGAAAGGCGGAGGTGGACGGAGAAGAAGAAGACATGGGCGGTTGTTGTGGCTTTCTTCGCAAGACGCCGAAGGAGCTTGGGGGAAGGAACATAAGAAGACTGTGGCGGCTACGGTTTTCTTCAAGAGACAGGAGACAGATCTGGATAAAGGGAGAAGAAAATACGGCGACAGTGGAGGCTGTGACTTTTTTCGTGAGATGGTTGGAGGATCTAGAGGAATGGAGAAGAAGTGTGTGGCTGGAGGGAGGGGATTGGTCACCTCTCAATTTCCAAATCCAAATGAATCTAGTTGTGGACAACGATCTCGAATGCCACTGTTGTTATCGATGGCGGCAAATCTAGAAGAAGGAACTCTTACCAGTCGTGATTACTGGTATTGTCGATGGAGGGAAGAGATTGAACTGTTGGTCGCTACCTTTGTGGCTCGACTCTAACTAAACATGTCAATTAACGACCAAGCATAACCAATGATTGGGTGTAGCATAGGGTAAGCAAGCAAGAAAAATATCAAAACACGGTCTCCTATGTGTACCATACTCGGGTTAGGTTTCGTTATCTAGTCAACCTAGAATAGTGATTAGGAAAACTAGACTAACTAACCTAGCTAACCACTAACCTAACCAATTACAACTTGTGGATTTTTATTATCTTGAATCCACCTAGTTAATTTGAATCAATGTTGAGTACTATCCTCGCTTGATCGACTCAATACCCTACCGTTATGAGGTCGACTCACTTGGGATTGGCCCGAAACGACGAAGTGATGGATGGGTGGTTCTCTATTCAACATAGGGATTCATATATCGTCAGGAGGTCTATCGAATTAAATCTCTTGTGGATTACTCGGACAACATATGATAGGAGTGACCCGAAGACGTCGATAATGGGCTCTAAGAGGATTATCTCCCTCCTAGGTCAAAAGCTCAATTGACATGAAGTCGAATCCAAAATCATCAACTTAGAATATGTCACATACATAAATTTCAAACCAAAATCTAGATCTAGGATTCATTAATCTAAGAGAAAGAGGTCTAGTTCATAGAGAGAGAAGAGAACTTACAAAAACAGCTCAAAATCATCATCTTCTAGGCTTGAATCCTTGACTCCAAAATAAACTAAAGCATCCAATTAAACTCCAAGATCACTCAAGGTCACTCTCTCTCTTTCTCTAATTTTTTTTGTGTTTTGTGTCGAAACCCTAGAGAGAGAACCAAGTTATTCTCCAAAAACCAGCTCTTCTCTCTCTACCAGCTGGTGTCTTTTTATATACCCGATAGTGTCGACTTCACGGTGGTGATAATAGCAAGAAGACGACGATCTCCTTAAAAAATGCACCATTTTGGGCTATTTTCATGGTTTCAGTGTGATTTTCATGGTGTTAGACCGTGAAGTTTGCACAGCCCGCGAGATGCACAATGGTTTATAGAATTTGCACACTTCACGGTCCGGGGGAGATTTTCACCGCCTCATGGCGTGATAATTGCCTCTTGCCTGTGAAGCTTGCAACTTCATCGTCTGGGGGATATTTTCAGCCCCTCAGGGTGTGATAATTGCCTCCTGCCTGTGAACCTTGCACAACCTCCACTTTTTTTGCTCGATTTGACCTCTGAATGACCTAAAACTCGTCTTCGACCTTCCCACATGTACTAGGAACTGAAATGTGGAAAAAGAAGCACAACCTAATGTAAAATTGGTCGAGGAACGACGATTTTCAAGTCAAACAATCAAGATATGAGGGGGTAAAACATGTAATTATGCCCGAATCAAACTCCCTCAACGTTGCTTGTCCCAAGCAAACCAAGTATAACACAAGGTAAGCAAACCAAGAGAGGTTGATCATAGAACCCTGTTCATTGTAGAAGCCATTGGGATCCATGCATGATTCAACCTACACAGACAAAAACACAAAAAAAAAATCAAACAAACACAAATACCCTTCAAGACGAGAGTGGGTTAACACGACACAAACTAAACACACAAAAAAAAAACAGTTAAAGTAACGACCAAGGTTGTCAACCCGTGGGTTGACCCAAACCCGGTCAATCTAGCCCGGACATATGGAAATAGTCATTATATTGTACTTATCCTGATAAATTATATCAAATCTCATCTAACATATGATAATATATCAAAATAACATGTCGTACTTGAATCCAACATATAGTGAAAATTCACACACACTTATATAACATCAATATTCAAATGTTCAACTAAAGATTCCAAAGAATGAGTTAGGCGAATAGAAAATTCGGAAAATAGGCGTATTTCGCAAACCAAAGAAAAAAATAATACAATTTGACCTCCAATCCGATACCATGTAACGGTCGACCCCGTGGGTGCGTACGACCCGGTTTTGTCACCGGGTCAGGGTCAAAGTGGGTCAACCCGCGGTCGACTCGCGAGTTGACAACCTTGGTAACGACCTAAGCGTTTTTTCGATAACCTAGAATGATCCCTGGAAATGGCGCCTAAAACTTTGCTCGACTCTAACTACACATCCCAATCGACAACTAAGCATAACCGACGACGAGGTATAGCATAAGGTAAGAAAGCAACAACAATATCAAACCATGGGTCTCCTAGGTGTACCTTACTTTAGGTTAGGTTTCGTTATCTAACCAACCTAGAATAGTGATTAGGAAAACTAGATTGACTAACCTAGCCAACCACTAACCTAGCTAATTACAAGTTGTGGAGCTCTCCTAGATTGACTCGGAACGCCAAAGTTATGGAGGGGTAGTGCTCTATTCAACCTAGGGATTCATATATCTTTAGGAGGTCGTTCGAATCAACTCCCTCGGGGATGCCAAAAATGGGCTCTAAGGGAATTATGTCCCTCCTAGGTCAAAAGCTCAATTGACATGAAGTGAAATCCAAAACATGCAATTCATGAAAACCATCAATCAAATAGATAAAATCGTCAATAAAACTCAGAATATTTCACATATATAAACTTCAAATCAAAACCTAGATCTAGGGTTCATCAACCTAAGAGAAAGAGGTCTAGTTCATAGAAAGAGAAGATAAATTACAAAAATAGGTCAAGATCTTCGTCTTCTAGGCTTGAGTCCTTGACTCCAAAATCAACCAAAGCCTCCAATTAAGCTCTAAGATTACTCAAGGTCCCTCTCTCTCTCTCTAAAAACTCCTCTTTGGTGTTTTGGGTCGAAACCCTAGAGAGAGAACCAAGTTCTTCTCCAAAAACCAACTCTCCCCTCTCTCCCAACTGTTGTGTTTATATATGCCCGACAATGCCGAATTCACGGTCACTGTTCACGGGAGATGATAATAGCAAGCGGACGGTGATCTCGGCCAAAAAGTGCACCATTTTGGACTATTTTAATGACCATGGGGTGATTTTCACGGTGTTAGATTGTGAAGTTTGCACAGCCCGTGAGATGCACATTGGTTGTTGGAATTTGCACACTTCACGGTCTGAGGATAATTTTCACCCCCTCATGGCGTGATAATCGCCTTCTGACCATTCTTTATGTGAACCAATGAAGATCCACACCGCTCGTCCACCACCTACCTTGAGGAGAAGAATAGTCGTACGTGTGGGTGATTTATTTTGGCAAGTTCGGCGAAGAAGAGGTAGAGGAAGAAGAGCAGCTTGGTCAATTGATAGAGAGAGATGTAGAACTCCGGCTTGCAATCGGTTGTCGTTCCTGTCGAACTAGGGTTGCGAAGAGGAAGGAGAAGAAAAGGTTGCGGCGGATTTGTGGAGAGAATGAGGTGTAATGTAATTTTTTTAATTGACATGTCGTTAAGTTAATGGCCAAGTCAGCAGTCTTGTTAGCCATGTCATCAAAAATCATACGGTGTTAATGGAGTATGACGGAAACTGTTGGTCGGTGACTAACGATGAAACGATTCGTAAAGTTAGTGACGAATAAGGAAAAATGTTTTTGGATAGCAAACGTGAAAGATTTATGTAATTTGAGTGACCAAACATTTAATTTAGCGGGCATCTCTATTGTTATATTGTGGATGTTTATTTTTAATTTTTTCTGATTTTCGTATCATTATGAAGAAAAATTATGAAGAATAATAATTTTTCTTAAAAACATTTACACTATTGACTTTTTTACACTCATGTAGAATAAGACCAATGGTCTAAGTTGTTCAACAAAAATTACACATGTTATGTTAGGGATTTTTAACATTTTAAGACAAAGTGGTGCTTTTGTGTAAATTAAGGCAAACTAAATATTTACCTACCTACACATATATTTTGTGATCAAAAAGTGGTTCTAAGAAGATCACACTTTCTAAATATGTAATTTTCGTAATTGTGTCTAGTTTATGTTTTTATATTAAAAAGTGTTATTATTGGGATTTGAACCTTTGGTCACTTAAATGAGGAAGTTACACTACAACCAGTTAGGCTACATTGTATTTATTATAATTTTTTTGATTTAACTCTAGACACATATTTGTTGTTGACATTTTCATAGTAATATTTTACATAATCTACACATATATTTATAGTGGAATGAGAATCTACCCATCTACCTACATCTACATCTTCTTATATCTATATCTATATTTATAGAGCAACTTATGTATCTCTGTCATTGTCAGAGTACCTCTTTCAACTCCTATACCTCAATTTATGTGGAGGTTCAATGAAATTAAAGGGTCTCGAAAGCTCTATCCATGCAATTAAAAACACATCCTCAAGTTGGCTGTCAATTCAACGTGTATAAATTTTACTTCTACTAGAGATGCACTAGCATCAAACATGGTCACTGACCAACCACTAATATCTCACTAAACTATCCTCCCTAGATCAAGTGACATTTCCTAGACTCGTTGATTCATAGTAAGATGAGTCGTGAACATGCTTGTAAGGGAGACTAAACAAGTCAATTGATGGAAAATATCTTTAGTTATTTCGAAAAAATTTCACATGCATATCATAACTACTTTACTTGGATAATTTTTTTTAAATTGATCGACTAAATATAAAGCAATAGAAAGCACAATGAAGTAACACATAGCACACAATTTCACCCCACACTTTAAAATGGAGATTGTCCTCAATGGACCAAATAATTGTGAGAATTTTATTTTTGGAACGACTTACCTCATTTGTCGTACTAATTTCGAATGTTTTATAGAGAATAGCTAATGTTCTCTCCTTGATTGCATAGGATTACTTGAATTAAGAATTCAAAACAAACAATAAATGATAAATAATGGATAAAAGCTAGAGTTTATGATCCATATTAGTATCCAAATGCAATAAAAGAAAAACATAATCCACAAATAGAAAGAAATTTCCACTAATGTCCACCACTTCTTGGTCCTTGCCTTGAGAAGAAGTTTTCAAACTTTTGACCAAACCCATGCATCCAATCATGAAAGCATTTCTGGTGTGCCTATGTCTGTTGTCTCCAAACACGAGTCTCCTCTAGTTCCTGTCTACGATCCTAATCGAAGACATCCCAACATTGGTCGTTTTTAGATTGGTACACAAGAAGTTCTCCTCTTGCCTCTATACGGCTTCTCTCAAGGATGCTATCTCAACTCTTGATACTATGAAGGTGGTGCTGAGGAAGATGAGCCGGCTCCATGTCTCTACTACTCATGAATACTCTAAAGGTGCACAACTAGCTTCCTTGCTTCGGACCAAGCAACATGGCTAGGAAAATCATCCCTGGCGAGGTCTACTTTAACTCCAATCAGTCTATGTACTCCAAAGATGAAAGTTGGCTTTCTAAGAAAATACCCATGCATTGCCATGGTATCCCAGAAAACGAATCCAAACTCATCTCTGGGTTCATCGATGTATTGGGAAATAGTACAAATATAACCTCCTCCTGAAAGTACTCGATGAGAAGAGATGATGGTGGACCGCTTGAGATAGTCCACTACTAGCCAAGCTGAATGTAGCCACCAATTATGCACGAGTGCATGATAAAGTACCATGTCACTAGAGGTGAACTTGCTTGCATCGCCTATCTACCTCATGTGAAAACTGGTTCGACCAAAGTAATGCACAAACCTCAGAATTGGTAGGAGGATGGCGGTGGGTCTAGCAGATGTACTATAGAAAAAGGGTTCTTCACTTATGTACTATAGAAAAATAACCAAATCAAATCGGTAAATAGGGAATAACCTCACATTTTATATCATGGCTTCTTCTATAAGCTAACATATGATTTCTAAGATATGCTCTATTAAGATAGCCTACCCATGACATACTCACTGACTCGTCCCAAATATCACAAGAAAACTCTCAATTAGATCCTCAAGTATAAACTTTAATTGGGTGCAATATAAGGCAAGTATGTTTAAATATCAACCCGGGCCGGTCCATGTACCCCTACTTCGATTGTTTGAAATATTATCTAGCTATTAGTTGTTTGTTGAAAACTACTATCTATAATTAAGACAATTGTAAAAGTAATTGGTTTTGACTCTAAATGAGAAGGATTCACCTGGGTGTAGCCCCCCTAACTAGCGACCATGACTTGTCAGAATGAATGAAAACGTGTGGTGGAGGTGGTTGTGAGCCACAAGGGAAGTGCAACTAATGATGGAACATTACTCTCTCGGTCTCTAGGCCAAAGAATTCAGATTGAGATACCAAGGTAGCTCTCTTGGTCTAATTGACTAAGGACTGTCTAACCTTCTCTCTCGAATCAGAGTTCGGACGTCCAAAACACAACCAACCAAGGTGCTAACACGAACAAGGACGTCAAGCCCCATGGCCTGGGTGAACCCATCATAGGTCAGCACATGTTGCTAACCTCCTAGCATAAATTCCACATACGGTCGGTTGCGCTTGCTCGTCGGGATGACATGGGAGATGGTGGAGTAGAACTCCACATAGAGCTCGCGGTAGATGAGCTCGTCAACCTCCAGGAGGTGTTGCCACTGAATGAATGAGGAGTCCAGACATCGCTGCCCAGCACTTGAACATGGTGAACATGTCCAAGTCCAACACCTAGTGAGGTCCAGCCTCACTGTACCTCCACTGCTCAAACATGGTGCCATACTTCTCGTGGTTCACCAGGTAGTGGACGTACTGGTGACTCGCATCAACCATCCTTCAAAACATCAAAAGCATACACCATACGTGGAAACATTCATCAATCTCAATTCATTGGAGAGAAAAGAATTCCCCCACACTTAGGATTCCACTAAGGTCCTATGCCTTTGAAGGCTTTTCACAGGATCGGATTTCAACTATTTAAGCCCAACCACGTTTAAAGCTCATCGAGATATGGTTCTAGGTGATTCATGGTTCATCAAAATAACAATATCAAACCCAAACCATGCCTCGATGGCCACCAACCACCATTCATCGGAAGAAAAAAAATTGAGCCAAGTAGCTCCCAGACGTGAGAAGAGTGGGTATGTGCTTGGTTTTGTAAATGGGTGGCCGAAAGTCGCCGAAATCGATAAAAAAACAGCGGGAATCGCGGTTTTCCGATGAGGTTCAGAGGATTCCGGCGACATGATGTGAAGGAGAAGGGTTCACCCCCTTATTTAGCCCGATCTCGAGGTTCACGAACAGAGTTTCAAAGACTGCTGGAGTCTCCCTCGTTCACGGTTTCCACCTGATTATCACGATCGCTAAAAAGTTATGTGAATTCAAAAAAAAAAAAATCATGACGTTCTGATTGCAGAGCACAAAGTTATGGACGGTCAAAGTTTGGCGAAATCGAAAAAAGCCCGTTCAGGGTAGCAAATAACGTTTTTTCGCGACGATGGTGAGACCAAACTGGGTGGCGATTTTTGGAAAATGATGCTATTACTGGAATTTTTCAGGATTAGGTGCTATTTTTGTAAATTTTTTTAAAACAGTGCTATTTCTGAAAAAAAAATTCCAGAAAAAGGATGGAAAGTGGGGGTCAGCGGAATGGGGATTGATGGAGGGGTGGAGGGATTATTGGGTTGTGGCCAGTGGGATTATTTGGCAAAATTGGAGGAGAAAAGAGGAAGAAGGTGGGTGGGGGATTTACGGATATGTTTTTGTTTATTATTTTTTTAGTTTTATTTTTTCTTAGTTTATTTATTTATATGAAAAATAATTAAGAATTAATAGTACAAATTATGTGTCCTTTCCCGGAATAATAGTTCATACCGGAATAATATTTCATAATATATATGGAATATTAAATAGTTTTGGGCACAAATAACACTTTTATAGTTGGGATTTTTCAGTGGTATTTAGTGATGGCAATGGGGCGGGGCGAGTACCTTAATATCCATGCCATGCCCATGCTACTACGGGTCGGGGCGGGTAATACCTGCACGGGTACGGAGCGACCCATTCTTAGATGTTATTTGAAAAAAATGCACGTAAAATGTTACTTTTTACGATAAAATAATGGGGAAGACACTTTATGAATGAAAATCAGTGATAACATAATAAGTAATTGAGTCAACCTAATTAAAAGATCAATTCTAACTAGTTGAAGAAAAGTCAAAATAGAAGAACTATGAATAAAATTGCAAGAAGTCGAGATAAAATGGATCAAGATCAACGGGGCGGGGCGGGTCAGGGCGTAAGTAGATACTCATGACCCGCCCCACGCTACTGCGGGTCGGGTAATACCCGCCCAATCGCGAATCAGGTAGGGTAATACCCGACGAGGCGGGTTCAAATTGCCATCCCTAGGGCGGAAGTAGTAACCATAAAAAATTATTAAATGATATCCAATTTCTTCATCACAAATCCAGCTAACGTTACTAAGTACAATGTTAATTTCCAAAGAATCAAACCAACCAATCATTTATAAACTTACTGAAACAAAATCGTATAGATGCATCGAACAAGTTAGTTTCCCTCGTCAATCGACAAAATAATTGGAAACCCCTTCTTGATTACCATAATTACTTTGCTAATCAGTTCCCATAAAATCCTATTACGTTCACAATTTGAGGAGAGTATCTCCAAAACCGAAGCTTATTCGCTATATATATACAAGCCAGTGCATATCCTTAAATATATTATTATTAGAGTTCAATATACCCTTTTGATTGATTATTGTCGATCTGTGGGAGGGATGACGATGATGAAGAATACTAAAGGTGTGGTTCTGTTTGTGATGGCGGTGGCTCTGCTTGTGACTGTGAGCCGGACGTCGTTAATGGCGGAGGCAACAAGGTACATAAGTCCATGTGTCCTAAACCCTAATGAGCCTGGCTGTCCTGGCGCTCCTCCTAGTATTGGCACTCCTCCTAGTACTCCTGTCCCTGCCAATCCTTACGACCGTGGTTGCTTGCCCATTAACCGCTGCCGTCCTGGTAATGGAGGCGGCGACCATGCCTAAACTAGGTCGAATTATGATCATGTGCGTGCCGTTGTTTTCGTTTGAATTCGTCTGTAGTACATTGTGATATTGCCATCATTGTATTATTTCAATAATTTATGAATGATTGGCTTTGGTTCCTAGAATCCTAGTATCAACTTGTCTCTCTTTTTTTCTTGGGACAAACTTAATCAATGAGTTTTTTATTATTATTATTTGATCCAAAATTTTAGAGCACAGAAGAACGAGATTGGTGCTAATTATCTGCTTACACAAAAAATTAAACTTGTACCACATCGGTTAAAAACAATGAATTAAAAGGTGAAAGGGATTTTGCTAGAGATATTTTGAATGAATCTGAACTTGATTTCATTAAATGATAGTCTCAGCTAATATACAGATTTGTGCAACAGATTAGTTGCCCACGTTCCATGAGTTTAGGAACAGAAAGAGAGTGGGAAAGATTGAGAGAAAGAATAGGTGAAGAAGAATAAATAAATAAAATATATTTATGTACTGATTTCCTTAATACGCCCCCGCAAGATGGAGGAGGTGTCAACGACGCCAATCTTGGATCGAAGAAGCAGAAACCGAGCAGCGAGAAGTGGCTTTGTGAGGGCGTCAGCGAGCTGATGAGTAGTGGGTATGTACTCGACTCTGAGACGACCAGATTGCACAAGGTGACGAGCAAAGTGATAATCCAACGCCAAGTGTTTCATCCTGGAATGGAAGACCGGGTTGGAGCTAAAGTAAGTGGCACCAAGGTTGTCGGAATGAAGCTTGGGCGAGACAGCCAACGGAACCTGCAGTTCTTGAAGCAAATTTTGGATCCACTCAAGCTCGGCGGCAGTATTGGCAATCGCACGATACTCCGCCTCGGTGCTGGAACGAGCAACTGTACGCTGCTTCTGAGAACGCCAGGAAATTAGCGTAGATCCATAATAAATAAGATAACCTGATGTGGAAGAACGATCATCCGGATTTCCTGCCCAGTCGGAGTCCGCAAAGGCAGTCAAAGTCAACGGTGCATCAGAGCGTCGAATTGAAAGACCAAAGGATAGAGTGCCGGAGATGTAACGGAGGCGATACTTGACGCACTGCCAGTGATGAGCCGAGGGGTGATGCATATACTGGGATAGTTTGTTGACTGAGAAAGCAATGTCAGGACGAGTGTATACAAGGTACTGGAGGGCACCAACCGCCTGACAAAAACGAGTGACATCAGCAGGAGGAGTACCATCATCGAGTGAAAGACTGGTGGAGGCAGCCATGGGAGTAGCAACAGGCTTGGCATCACTCATGAGAAAGCTATCAAGAATGTCAACCATGTACTTATGTTGAGATAGAATGTACCCAGTGGCAGTAGGAATGACTTCTATGCCCAAGAAATAGTTGACCTCACCAAGGGCCTTGAGAGAAAACCGGCTAGAAAGAGCCTGCTGAAAGGTATGAAGAACAGCAGAGTCGTTGCCAGTAAGAACCAAATCGTCAACATAAACCAAAAAATAGAGCAAAGCCTAGCCTTTGGAATAGACGAACAAAGAGGCATCACTGTGCGTCTTTGTGAAGCCAAATTCCTGAAGAAAAGAGCACAATGTACTGTACCAAGCCTGAGGAGCCTGACGAAGACCATAGATCGCCTTTTTAAGACGACAAACATGAGTAGGGAGAGTAGGATCTACAAAACCAGGAGGTTGAGCCATGTAAACCTCATCGTCCAAAGGCCCTTGGAGAAAGGCATTATTAACGTCAAATTGAGCAATAGACCAACCATGAGTAAGAGCCAGAGTGAAAACAGTACGAACAGTGACTGGTTTAACAACAGGACTGAAAGTATCGGTGAAGTCAATACCCGGGCGCTGATGAAAGCCTTTCGCCACTAGGCGTGTCTTAAAACGCTCAATTGAGCCATCAGAATGATGCTTGACCCGAAAAACCCATCGATTACCAAGTACGTTGTAATGAGGAAGGCGAGGAACAAGCTCCCAAGTATCATTAGCCAGGAGGGCTGAATTCTCAGCCGTTAATGCCTCGTCCCATTCTTTGTATTTCTTTGCTTCGTGCACAGTACGTGGCTCTAGCGGCGGGGGCCCAGGAGATAATTGGGAAACAAATAATCTCTTCTTGGGCCGGAAGATGCCGCCCTGGGCCCGTGTCCGCATGGGATGAGAGCGACGCAGAGGCGGCGGGTGGGCCGGAGCAGCCACTGGGCCAGCAGTGGGAGTCGCTGCAATAATAGATGGGCCGGCGGATAGTGATGAACGAGGCCCACTAGAGGGGTCGGTGGTGAGAGGCCCAGTTTGAGAGGGCCCAGCGACGGAAGAATCAGACACAGGAGCAGCAGCAACGGAGGGATCCGGGTGACGCGTATGAGGCAGGCAAATAGTGCTGATGGTAGGGGACATGTCATGAAGCCAGGACTCGGACAAGGAGAGATCAGCTGGTGGTGTGGCACAATACCCTGGAAAGTTGGACTCAACAAAGGTAACATGACGAGAGAGAAAAATACGATGAGTGTCAGGGTCAAAACAACGATAAGCACTACGCTGCGGACAATACCCAAGGAATAAACAAGGGCGAGAGCGCGGATCGAGTTTATGAGCAGAGTATGGACGAAGCCAAGGATAACACAGGCAACCAAAGACACGAAGTTTATGATAATTGGGGGGTAAATTAAAAAGAAGGGTGAAAGGTATTTTACCATGTACGTCCGAGGAAGGGAGACGATTTATAAGATAGATGGCTGTGGAAAAGGCAAAAGACCAAAAAGAAGTGGGGAGTTTGGCGTGATAGAGAAGAGTGATACCAGTTTCGACCAAATGTCTATGTTTTCGCTCAGCAAGCCCATTGTGTTCAGGAGTATGTGGTGGAGTGAGAAGATGAGTAATTCCATTGGCAAGAAGGTCGGAGCGCAACTTTTGAAATTCACCGCCACCATCCGTGTAAAGCCGACGAATAGTGGTGGAAAAATAATTTTCAACCATCTTACGAAAGGAAAGAAAAGTATGAAGAACATCAGACTTGTTACATAAAGGATAATACCAAGTGTAACGAGTGAAATGATCAATGATAATCAAGTAATAACGATAACCATCAATGGAAGACACAGGAGCAGGACCCCAAACGTCAGTATACAAAAGATCAAACGGTCTATCACTTGATAATGAGGAAATCGAAAATGGGAGTTTGTGACTTTTATTGGAAAGACAGGCATCACAATGAGAGTTGGAAATAGAGGACGAAACAGGCAGAGAAAACGACCGACTAAGACTGGCTAGAGAACGATGTGAAGGATGACCGAGGGGGGCATGCCACGAACTTGCAGATGTCCGAGTCGTCACTAGGGCCATTCGAACATTGTGCACTTCCTGTGGCAACTCATACACATCACCGTTGTTTTCCCCCTTCAGAAGCTGCGCCCCCGTGCGAAGATCCTTCACAATAAAATGAGTGGTAAAAAATTCCACCGACACAGGATTAGTTTGGCATAACTTAGCGACCGATATTAAATGTTTCTTGATATTAGGAACACATAATATATCATTGAGAAGCAAAGTATGAGAGCCGGTAGAAAGTGAGGAGGACCCAATATGGGAAATAGCCAAACCTGAACCATCACCCACTAAAATTTCATCTGGGCCTGTGTAGTCTGAATAGAGAGAGAGCTGGCCCAAATCAGAAGTCACATGATGACTAGCAGCTGAGTCCAATATCCATGGGCCTGAAGAGCCCTCTGACGGGCCTCGTTGAGTAAGATTGATTTGGGCCTGACGATTCTGATTATACGCCTGTCGGGCTTGAGGAAATAAACGGAAACATTGTCTCACAGTATGGCCTGGACGTTCACAATACTGACAGGTGATATTGGGCCGACGCGGGCGTATGGGCTCGGATGGGGAACTGAGTTGACGAGGGTTATGAGGAGGCCCACGAGGGACATAAGGAGGCCCAGGGGAAACCCCTAGCTGCTGCTGGCCACGAGAGCTGCGGTTAAAGGTGCTGCCGCCAGGTGAGACGCCCCCGTCGACTCGTTCACTCGCGCCGCCGCTGCTGCCACGGCGAGGAAGGCCTTGAGAATAAAACGTCGTGGGAACGCCGGCAGCCCTTGCCTGAAGCTTCAGGTCCGCCTCGAATTCAATCAACGAGTCGAGCAGATCTTCAATAGTGACGGCCAACCCGCGAGCTCGCACAGCAGTAGCAAATTGATTATAATCAGCCCTAAGTCCGCGAAGACAATGGACAACTAGATCCAAATCCTTCACTGGTTCATCAATAAGCGCAAGTTCGGCTGCAATGAGTTTAAGATCATTAACGAAGGTAACAACATCGCGATTGTAACACCCCACCCTAAACGTTTTGCCTAATCATATTGTTTATACAATTGCAGCGGAATTAACCTCGGGCGTTACATTAATTATCAAAATTTACCTAAATAAAATTTCGACATGAATAACTCGCGTAATGGGCTAACAGTTCTTGCAACTTAACCTGCAAAATAATTCATCACAAACATATATACTCACAACCATATGCATTGGCTTTTCTTAGCCATAGTCACACTTTTCATACTTCCTAACTGCATACCATACTTATACATACCATAATCGTCACAACTTACACAGTTACACAACATATACACATATCATTAACTTTCCACACCTGTGGATATCTCACACTACATTCGAAGCTAGTATGCACATGAAAATGTTCTCAAAACATTTTTACAAAAAGGTGTGGATCACTGGCCAAAATCCCAAGTAGTAGTCCAAGCACAGAATAGTTGAAGACCATACCTCATCCTGGCTTCAACTCTAGCTCCTCTCCCACCTAACACTTATCTACTGCTGCTGCTGATGATCTGCTTACACATAGCATAAGCAGAGAAGAAGAATAAAAGAGGGTCAGCTCATAGCTGAGTGAGATAATCATAGCATCGTGAGTTCATAACAGAGCATACCCCTACCATACATCTAGCAAACGAGCCAAAACACTAGGATCGGACCTCAGCCGTCCTCATATCCCAATAGGCAAAAGACTCAACCACCTTGACTTATGCATATGCATCTTATCATGTTTTACTTATAGGCGCCTGGCTACTCCCATGCTAATAACTCTCCCGGGAAACATACCCCACATCCCGTCGGATGTAGTCATACATACCCCAACATCCCGTCGGATGTGGTCACACATACCCCACACCACTATGGGTGTAGTCATACCCCGACACCGCTCTGGGTGTGGTCATATCTCATAAGAATTCTTCAGTCACCACCACATGAGAGGTGTGACTATCATACATATCATAATAGAGTAATAGCATAGGGAGCC